CTGTGCGCAGGTGGCCATGGGGCCCGGGCCGGCCCACTAGCAGGCCGCCATGTCCCGCGAGGGGGGCTCCTGCCGCCTGGGCGCCGGGGCACGGGCGCGGGCTCGGAAGCCCAAGAAGCCGCACTACATCCCGCGGCCGTGGGGCAAGCCTTACAACTACAAGTGCTTCCAGTGCCCGTTCACCTGCCTAGAGAAGTCACACCTGTACAACCACATGAAGTACAGCCTCTGCAAGGACTCCCTCTCCCTGCTGCTCGACTCCCCGGACTGGGCCTGCCGCCGCGCCCCCGCCGCACCCCGGCCCCGCACGCCCAGCCCGGACCGCCCCCTGGGCCCCCCAGACCCCGGCAGCCAGCCCCGAGGACCACAGCTCCCCGTTGCTCCTGCCACGCCCGACCCCGCCTCCCATGTCCTGTCGCTGCGCCGCCACATCGGAGGTCCGAAGCTGGGGGCTGACGGCTCCCCCGGGGTGCCATCCCCCGTGGCCCAGGAGGCTGCCCAGAAGGATGTGGGCCTTGGGGGGCTCCTGGCCGAGGCGTGGAAGCCAGGGCTGGGCGGGAGCCGGAGGGGCATAGCCGTGGTGGATGCGGCTGCAGTGGGCCCTGAGAGCGGGGGGGTCCCCTGCTACCCCCCGCCCACCCCCAGCGAGCTCCCTGAGGCCCAGAGCCTCCATCTGTCCCTGCTAGGTGTCGACTGCCCTCTGAGCCCCAGTCTCTTCTCCTACCTGGGGCCCTCCCTGGCCGCCACAGCCCACATGCCCTTTCTGGCCTCGGCCAGCCCCCTGTTGCCCCCGGCCTCTGCTTTCCCGTCCCCACAGACCCCTGAACGCCCTGCCCTGGTCCCCCGCTTGTACTATCCCCTGCTCCTGGAGCATACACTGGGGCTGCCGGCAGGCAAGGCTGTCCCTGCCAAGCCCCTAGCCCCCCCGAAGGGGCCCCCTGGGACTCTGGCCCCAGGGCCGCTGAAGGTGCCAGTACCTGGGCTGGGCAGGCCCTGGCCCCGTGGAGCCCCCAGGGACTCAGGGCAGGAGGGGGAGTTGGAGCGGTCTGCCCAGAGTGACCCCAAGAGGAAGCTGCCCCTGGGAAGCAGGTTGGAGCCCCTGAAGGCCCCCTCCAGCACGGTGAAGTTCAGTGCCCAGAGCAGGTAGGTGTCAGGGGCCCCTGGCCACGGGGGTGGGGAGGGGTGGGAGGCGAGCTGGCCAGGGTGGCTGGGCCCCATTCTTCAGGCCACAGAGGAGAAACCAAGGCCAGAGAGCCAGACTCTCTATCCTTCGGGGATCCCAAGGCCCTCAGCCAGGCTGCAAAGGGGTCGCCAGGGGGTGTGGGGCAGGGACTGGGGGCTCTGGGGGAGGGTGGGCAGTGCAGCCTCTTGACCGGCTTCTACCCCCTAGCCTTCGGACTGGCCCCTCCGTGATGCTCTGGCCTGAGGACAAGGAGCCAGGCAACCCCAAGACCCCGGGCCCTGCAGCCCCCCTGCCCCAGCAGCCCCTGGGCCTGATGCCTGGTGGCCCCGGGCACGTGGGTGAGGACCTGACTCAGGCCCTTGGTGACTACGCCAGGGTAGAGCAGCGCCTGGGGCAGTTGGTGCCTGCCGGGGGCCTGGCCCCTCGGCCTCTGCGGGAGCAGCTTGGCAAGATCCGCCAGGAGCTGCTCACCATCCACCAGACGCTAGAGCGGGCTGTTCGGCCACTGGATGCACCCCTCGACCTCTCTGTGAAGCGGGCGCCCACCAAGGGGCCCAAGGGGCCGGTGGGGACCTGGGGGCAGCTGGAGCTGGGCCCCACGCTAGCCCGGGGGACCCCGGAGCCACCTAGCCTGCTGGGCCCCACAACAGCTGAGCCTTTCTCTAGCCACACCACCAAATGCGAGGCTGACTCCAGTGTCCCACCCCCGGGCCTGCCCCTTCAGGCCCCAGAGGACCCTCTCATTCCTGGCAGCAGCTGGGGTGCCCGTGGCGGGCCTGGGGGCTCCTGGCCCCCTGAGGCTGTTCCTAGCCTCCAGAGCCCCCCGGGTGCCAAGGTCTGACCACAGCATCTGCTGCCTCCTCTGTTCTTAACAGACAGGGCCCTTCAACCCCGTGTCCACTGCCCAGCCCCCCACCTGCCCCAGCCCCGGGGTGTGGCCTAGAGCCTGCCCAGCATGCCCATGGACTGACCTCACCTGCCACGGCTGTGGCCTATCTCTGGGGCCACAAGGGACAGCAGAGAGTCATAGTTCCTTACTGATCACAGTTGTGAACGTTTAAATAGAAACCATCTTCACATACCCTGTCTGGGCCTCCTTCTTGCCCCAGCGTCACCACTGGGACACTCTCCACCAAGGAAATGTCCCTGGCCTCTGCATCTGAGTGGCCAGTGTCCTGGGCCACCCTGCTGGGCATCCACCTTCAGACCTGGACCTGCCTCCTGTGGACTGCCCCCCGCCCAGGGGAGGGAATAGAACGGGGGGCTTTCCATCAAGGGGGGTAGAACCAGGAGAGGTGGGGAGGCAGGTGTGGGTGGGAGCTAGTCCCCGTGTTCCAGCACATTGCTGGTGGACAGGGACCCCTGGGCCTGCCTCCAGCCCCCGTGTCTGGCCAGGGCAGCCCTGATGTCAGATTCTCGCTGGAGGCTGCTCCCGCTATGGTTAAGCGGTGCCCCCACATTCTGTGGCCCAGGGCTGTTTGTCCGGCGTAGCCTCCACTGGCTCCCAGCCAGCCCCTGCAGCCACGATAGGCATCGGGTGGCCTTCACAGCTCACTGCCTCCCTCCCTGCACGGCCACACTCGGCCCTTCCCACAGGCGGGGGGCAGGGGGCAGGCAGGGAGGGGTGCCCGCGGGACCCTTGGACCCAGCTAATGGCTTCTCTCCCCGGGAGCTGGCCATACCTCTGTACCCACCCAGGAATGGCCCCAGGGAGGGCAGTTCCGGCCTGTGCCTGGCTCCCCGAGCTGGACCAGCCGGGCTAGGGCCAGTCGGAGCAGGACCTACAGCTGCCCCATTAACTGTGCTCGGCAGCAGATAGCATCGGCCATCCGCCCCACCATGGGGCATTAAGAGGCCAAGTCCAGAGCTGGGGTGTGGGCCAACCAGGTGGGAAGCACTATGGGTCACAGACAGGCGCTGACCCCTCCCTTCCAGGGGCTTCCTGGAGAGTCCCCAGGTCCTGCGTCCGAGGGAGACCCGCTCCTCCTTGGCCCTCTCTTGGCACCCCCATGTGTCTACTGCACCCAGATTTCTTATCACCACCAGGCAGACGTGAGCTTAGGGGGCATCAACCCAGTTTCACAGGTGTAGAAACAGGACCCAACCCTGCCAGTTCTGAGGGGTAGGATAAACCCCTTGGAGATTCCCCACCCCAGACTCTGGTGAGTGATGCAGCCTACACGTAAGGGGTGCAACCCCTTCCCCAAGGGCCTGACCCTGCGGTCCTACTGGAGGAGTGTGGGTGAGGTGGACTCACACGGATGTTAGTTCAGCGCCTCCTGAATTCATGAATTGCATTACGGCAGGTTTTGGAGGGGTGTGGGCGCCTCCCTGGAGAGGGGTGGGCTGAGCTGACCATGAGTGGCATCCGGATATGCAGGGGCAGTGGGAAGAATGTCCCAGAGGCCAGTGCAAAGGACCCGAGGCAGGAATGTGGCAGCACTGGGGTGCCCCTAGGGGGTTTAGCAGCTGAGTGACGACGCCACACAGCTTCCCTGGGCTACTGCTCAAACGTGTTCTTGGCCCGCATCCCACCTGCCCCTCCCACTTGCCCGTGCCCGCTGCGTCAAGGTGGCCCCTCCCTCAGGCTGGTTTCTAACAACAGAGGCTGTTGCTGCCGGAGCAAGGCCCCGGGAGGCTAGCCCCAGGTAGGAGACGCCCCCCACCACCTCTCTGCTCAGAGAGCCCCTCTGCCTAACCCTTCAGAGGTTGGAAGTTTCCAGGGGCTTTGTGGGGGCAATGGGCAGAGCCTTGGGCTGCCCCCCAGGAAGGGTCACTTTCCTTGCCTGAAGGAAGGAAGGGTTCCCTGGGCAGATGAGTTTGAGAAATACCGCCCATCTGTCACCATCCCCCTCTACCCCCTGCCCCCCCCACACACACACCTCGGGACCTCCCGATGCCTGGGAGCTCATGCAGGCCTCAGAGAAAAACCCGTAGCCACCTTCACAGGTCCCATGTTCCCCAGACTTGTGTTCCAGGGGCCACATGAGGAAAAATGGGACCTAGACACATGGCTGGTTGCTGGGCTTGCAGACCAGGCCAGCACTCAGGACCTGGTGACACTAGGCTTAAAGCCAGCCGCTCCCCGCCCCCACCCGGTGCCTCAGTTTCCTCCTGTATAAAACAGGAGAACGCCAGCACCCCCGGGAGGGAGCAGGGGGAGAAGGGTCACCACTGCTTGGCCCCTAGTGGGCATTATTTCTCTTGCAGCGCCGCACTGGGCCCAGCTGCAGGACCTCGGCTCAGAGGAGCTGAGACTGTGATCCCTAGCCACCCACCCGTCTGTCCTCTGGCCTCCTGGGCCTTCCCGACCCACTGGCAGGCCGCCCCCCAGGGCCTGCTCTGCAAGCTGGACCCACCCGGAGACCCCGCTCACTCCTGCCGGCCCCGGCTGCTTGGGCGGATCCCAGTGCCCGCGGGGGCTGCAGGAGGACCCCGGGGTCTGCACTGCTCCCGGGATGGCCTGCTTTTCCTGACGGCTGGGGCTGCACCCTGCGTCCATGTGCTGGACCTCGAGGGACGATCCATCTGCCATCTGCCCTGCCACCGGCCAGGGGCTGGAGCCTTCGTGCCAGAGGATGTGGCTGTGACAGCTGCTGGGCTCGTGGTGGTCAGCGACCTCGTCCGTGGGGCTGTGTACGCGCTTCGGCACACTGCCCGAGACCCCCAAGGCCGCTGGGTCACGGTGGGCACCTTCCTGGCCCCCCGGGGGCTGGCTGTGGATGCCACCGGCCGCCTCCTGGTGACGGATTATGTGCCTGGGGCCGTGCACAGCTTCGCGCTGAGCCCTGCCCTGGAGCCACAGGCCCGAGCCTCCATGCTGGGTCTGGAGGGCCCCTGCTGGGTGGGCCCGGGCCCCGACGGCGGCCTCACTGTGAGTGAGGAGTTTGGGGATGTGCGGCTGTTCGGCAGTGCCCGCCAGCCCCTGGGCTCCCTGGGGGGCCTGACGGGGCACACCTTCGGCAACCCGGCGGGCATATGCACTGACGTGGAGGGCAGCGTGATTGTGGCGGATGAGCAGCAGGGCCACGTGACCCTGTTTCCTCGGGTCGGCGCGCCCATCTGCCTGGTGTCCGAGGGGCTGAGGAGGCCCTTGGGAGTGGCCTGTGCGCCTCAGGGCCAGCTCGTGGTGGCAGATGCGGGTGACGGCGACATCAAGGTGTACCAGTACCGCTCGCAGTGGGCCTGACCCGAGGGCTCAGATGGGAGCAGCCCCTCACGGGGTGTGGGTGAGCCCCCAGGGCCCCAGCCCACTACGGGAGGAACACTGGAGGTTGGTGGGGCCTCCAGGACTGCTGGCCACGCCTCCCCGACCTTGTGCGTTTGCAGGGCTCCCGCTGGGCCAGGTCCTGGGTTGCCTCCTACCTTCCTCTTGGAGATGATTCAGACTTCGTTGGCTGCCATAAACCAGGCACCTCCCAGCCTCCAAAGTTGGGCCCTCTGCACACCCCAGTTTAGGCTGCCCGAGCACTCATGGCCCCCATGTCCACTCAGGCCCTGGCCCTGCTGGGTCAGGGCCCAGGAGGCCTGAGCTTTGGGCCCAGCCCCTGAAGCCTGCAGACCTTGTGCTGGGCAGCTACCAGTGTTCACCCAGGCAGGCTCTTGGGCCAGGTGCCCCAGCCCCAGGCTCCTAATCAGACAGAAGCAGGCAAGGAGGGTGCGGCTGGGCTGGGCAGGGCAGGGGTGCAGCCCTTCACTGTCCCCATCTTCAGACGCACCCCAGGTGCCGAACCTCCTGCTGCTTCTCTGGGCCTGAGGTAAGGCAACGCAAAACAGGGGCCGCCCCAGAGGCACCCTGGAGTGGCACATGGCTGGGACGGGAGCCTCCATACTCCTGGTCCACTTCTCCCATGTGAGATCGTCCCTCAGGCTGAACCTGCATTTTCTCCTCGGCAAACCAGGAGCAAAGGGCTCCAAGCTCATGGGTGATGCATGCTGGGAAGGTTCCAGGCGGTGGCCCAGCCAGGAGAGCCTCCTATGAGGAAGGACTCCTGTTACCGAAGAACCACGGGCAAATGAGGCCCAAAAGAGGTGGAGGTGTGAGGGTAGGACTCTGCATTTGGGGCCCAGCCAGGCCCCTAGTTCCAGAGAGGGGTCTCAGTGGGAAGCGGACAGCGCCTGATCACCAGGACATTGCCTCTGACAAGGTCCCCTTCATATGTACCAGCCTGTGTGGGGGGGCGGGATTTCAGTGGTCAGTGTAAGGAAGCATGACCACTACGTGCTCAATAAATTCTACTTGTTGCTACTGGTGTCAGGGATATTGCTCCCCGGAGCAGGAGGGGCTAGGGACCCCTCTGATGACCAAACCAGAGGGCTGCTGCCTCTGGGCTGGCCCACTGGGGCCCAGCTTTCCTAGTCCACTGGGCCCTGAGGGGACCTGGGGGCGCCCCTTGGCAGAGACCGTTGTTGGAGGGGGCCGGTCTGGAGCTGGGAAGGCAGCTCCCTCCGGAACGCCACACAGGGCTTGGGGGTTCTTTCACCGGTGGAAGGTGAGGTTGGGGACCCTCAAAAGCCAGGTCCACCGGGTCCCTCAGATGAGGAAATGGGGGATGGGGGAGGTTTGGCAGCTGTGAGAAGATGGGGGACTGGAAGGCAGGGGTGTTGGGGACACTGCAGGTGTGCTGGAGGGGGTACAAGGACGCTGGGGGGGCAAGGACCCTGGGGGGGAGGAACAAGGACACTGTTGGGGAATAAGGACGCTGGGGGGGGGGCAAGGACACTGCTGGTGGGGGAGGACACTGGGGTGGGGGAGAAGGACACTGGGGGGCAAGGACACTGAGGGTGGGGGACAAGGACGCTGCGCACGCCGGCCGCAGACTCCGGAGACTGGAACGTTGCCGGCCGCAGACTCCAGGGACTGGAACGTTGCGCGCGCGGAACGCTCGGGCGGGGTCCGCGGGCAAGCTCGGGCGCCTTTGGGGGCCGGACCGTCGCGCGGCAACGCTGGGAGCCGGCGGAAATGGGGCTCGTGTCCCGCGGCGCGGCCGCGGCGGGGGTGGGGGCGGCGAGCGCTGTAGTCCGCCCGGGCCCGCCCCACGCGGTCCCCCACCCCATCCCGACCCCGCCGCCCGAGGGCGCGGCCCTGGGGAGCAGCCGGTGAGCATTCGTGCGGGGGGGGGGGGCCGGGTCGGCGTCCGTGCGCTGTGACCTTGGGGCGTCGCCCCTCCCGCCCCGGCCCCCGGGCTGTGGGCCCCCCGACTCCCGCGGCGGGGCGGGACCGGGCGCCGGGCGCGGGCCAGGCGGCGGAAGGGGCCCCGAGGCTCCTCCCAGGGGCGGCGCGGCACAGCACCCCCCCGCCCCCCCTCCCCGCCTCTGGAGCCTCTGTTTCCTCTTCTGTGAAATGGGGGCGCAGCCGGTCGCGGGGCGGGCCTGAGACAGCAGGGCCCCGGGGGCGGGCTTGGGTGGGTGGTCTGCGGCCGTGCCGCCGCGTCCCAGTGACACCCCTAGCCGGCCCCCGCGGTGGACCCTGGGGAAGGGCGTTCAGGGCCAGCAGTGTCCGCAGAACATAGGGCACAAAACAACGGTAGGGGCGCCTGGCCGGCTCCGTAGGGCGAGCGTGCAGGCTTGATCTCGGGGTGGTGGGTTCTAGCCTCCGGTTGGGGGTTGTAGATACACCGCCATTCTTCTGAGATGACGGGGAGAAAGCACTGTTTACCCAACGCCAGACAAAAAGAAACAACATGGGGTAATAGGAGTTTCTGGGAGCTCTGGAGTAGCTTCCAGAGGCGGGATTCAGCCGCGGAGCTGTCCCTGGCCAGCCATGACTGGGCTCTTCCCCACAGTCAGTTCATGCAGAGGAGAGAAGCAGAGCTTCCCTCATAAGGCAGACTGATGACCTCAGGGGCTGAGAGCAGGGCTGTCCCTGCCCCAGAGACCTGGCTGCCTGACCCACCTGGGAAGGGAGCTCGGTGTTCCCCCTGACAGACGAGGCCTTCCCAGGCGTGGGCCCTTGCTTTGGATCCTGGTCTTTAAAGATGTGCTCGTTGCCCAAGTTCCTGCCCCCTCCCCCGTCTGCACCTCCGCTATTGATTGCCTGCTCTTCTTTTTCTGGGCGTCTGATCTGAGCAGATTTCTTTGTGTTCCTCGCTCCCAGAGGCTGAGGTGGGGGTGGGGATGGGAGTTGGCCCCGTGGTTTGTTCTCTCTCGCTACCCCACGGATAAGAACAGCAACTTCTGCTCTCTGCTCTTCTTAGACATAAGGAGCTTAGACATAAGGAGACATAAGGAGCTGCTGCTTTTTCTTCTTCTTTTTTAGGCAAACTTTGTAGATGAAGCATAACCCACACAAAGAAAATGCACAAACCGTATGAGTACAACTCAATGAATTTTCCCGAAGTGAAAACCCCATTGCTCTGACAGATGCAGCTTTCCCCAGAGCATCTGTTCACTGTTAGGCCAATTGTTTTTCTTTTCCGACAGTAGCCATGGGTCGTTTTCCTTAGTTCCTGTGCAAGGAGTCCCCAAGCGGGGTATGATAGCGCTGTTTGGCTGAGCCGGTGCGTCTCAAGTGAGAGGCTTAGTGTGATGCCCGGCCCCCCGCCGTGGTCAGTAAACCCGAAGCCCCAGGTCCCTCACAGGCAGAACTGCTCTGTCCGTCTCAAATTGCCCCTATCGGGAGGGTCAGGAAGAGAAGTGGGCCCCTGGTGATGGCCACGGGGGTTTGGCCTGGGGCTGCTGCTGGGCTCCAGGCTTTCCCCTGCCGGCACCAGTCACTTGGTGAGGAGAGACATTCCGGAGTGCAGCTGCTCAGCTCAGAGGACCCTTTTCAGCTGGAACCCACTTGCACAATTGCCGGGAGAGGCCTCTACCTCCCAGCCCCAGTCTGGCCTCCCTGCAGTGAGGGCAAGCTGCTGCACCAGTGACCCCTTAAGCCCTGGGCGTTTGTGTCTGTGTAAGGCCCCTCCCAGAGCCCCCCAGCTGATAGCAAATGGATGACACGTCCCACCATGCCAACGTGTATATCCCCAAGGGCCTGGCAAGCAGTGGGGCCTGGAGGCCTGGGCTCCGTCCAAGGCCTGCGTCCCTCCCTCGGGTGTGGGCTCCAGCTTGGGGGTCTTAGCTCAGGGTGGCTGCTGGGTCCTTTGTGCCAACAAGGTGGGGACAGTCAGTGTCTGAGAAAGAGCATACTCCAAGGTGAAGCCCTCAGGGCTCTGCTGGATGAGGGCCTGCTGCCCACCATCTGGGAGGGGCTCAGTGCTTGCTGAGAAACCTGCATCCCCAGTGAACTTACCTCTGGGCAAGGCAAGGCTCAGGGTCCCACAGAATTCGGGGGTCATAGCTACTTGGGGCCGGTCTTGCTGGTTAGAGGCGAGGAAGGCGCACGGCCCTCAGCCTGAGAGAAGACAGTGGGGAGCTTGTCATCCTCCAGGCCCCCCACGTTTAGACAGCTGCCTCGCTCAACTGTGACAAGAGAGTCAGTCCCCTGCTGGGAACTCAGCCCCGAAATGGTGGATGGGCACAGCCATCGGCTGGTGGGTCAGAGTAGCTGCCAAAGCCCCATGAGAGCCCCGAGGCTCCTCTGGGGGCTCACCAGACGGGGAGTGGGCTTGGGGCACAGACACGTCCCCCGGTATGTTCTGGGGCCCCTGCACCAGTGCCCACAACCACCAACCGTGTGCCTGCATCTGGTTTCTCTCAGCCCAGCAATAATCCATTTACATTTTCATCTTTATTCTCACTAGCTTAGTAAGTAAATCAAGGTTCATTAGATTTTAATGTGCATTACTTTAAATGTTAATGAGATTGTACATTTTTCCATGTGCTACACATAACAAACTGTCATCAGTTTCCTTGAAAACAAAAACAAAGCCCTCACATTCAGCCCCGCACACCATCGTGAGTGCTTCTGGGGATCACGCACGTCCCCTGCCCTGTTCAGCCTGCTTGTCTCTGAAATGGGGGCAAGTGTTGGCCGGCCTGGGATGGGGGTAGGGGCCGTGCCCATGTGACATGGGCCTCTGGGGTCCACCCCATGGGCCCTGTGGCCGTGTGCATGTGCGTGTGTGTGTGTGTGTGTCCTCAGGGCCGTCTGTGGTGCTGCCGGCCGCCCTGGGGCCGCCCCGGACTGAGCCTGTCCCCTCTCTTCCAGCGTGCCCGGCATGGTGCTCAAGGCCTTCTTCCCCACGTGCTGCGCCTCGGCCGACAGCGGCTTGCTGGTGGGACGGTGGGTGCCAGAGCAGAGCAGCGCCGTGGTCCTGGCTGTGGTGCACTTTCCCTTCATCCCCCTCCAGGTGAAGGAGCTCCTGGCCCAGGTGCATCAGGCCGGCCGCGTGGGGCTGGCCGTGCTGGGCACCTGGTGCCACCGCCGGCAGGAGGCTGAGGAGAGCCTGGGCCACTTTCTGGAGGGCCTGGGCACCATCTTCTCCCATGAGCCTTGGCTACAGCTGTGCCGGGAGCAGGGCAGCAAGTTGTGGAGCTGCAAGGCCACGCGCCGGCAGGTGCCTCCCTGCCCTGGCGCCCCCTACGAGGACCAGGTCATGCTCGTCTTCTACGACCAGCGCAAGGTGCTGCTCTCTCAGCTGCACCCGCCCGCAGCCCTGCCTGACTGCCTGGCCGGCGATGCGGCGCCCAGTGCTGGGGGTCTGGCTGCCGTCTTTGACACGGTGGCGCGCAGTGAGGCGCTCTTCCGGAGCGACCGCTTCGACGACGGCCCTGTGCGCTTGAGCCACTGGCAGTCAGACGGCGTGGAGGCGAGCATCCTCGCTGAGCTGGCAAAGCGTGCCTCGGGCCCTGTCTGCGTGCTGCTGGCCTGCCTGTTGTCACTCGTCTCGGCTGCCAGCGCCTGCCGGTATGTGCCCCTGGGGCCGGAGGGCGGGGGGGGCGGGGAGGAAGTCCCGCCGCTGAGACCTAGCCCCCACCGTGGGCAGAGGCCTGGAGGCCCAGACGGGCCCTGCTAGGCTTCCCACTCTCATCTCCTGTCACCTCCCCTCTTATCTCTGGGGACGTCTGGGTGGTGGTTGCTCTCTGGGCAGAGCACGCTCCCTTGGCAGCCTCAGCACTGGCATGGGACCCACCGGGTAGCCGTTCAGGGTGGACTTCAGGTGGCTCAGTCTCCTGCGAGGCGAGCAAGACCGTGAACACACGCAGGTTGTTGCCGACAGGCGACTGGTATTTGCGCGGCCTGGTGCCTGGGAGTTGTCCTTCTGAAGGAAGGCACGCAGGTCCCACCTGCTTCCCTGGCCCTGGTGGGGGCAGTGTCCGCTCACTGATGGACGTGGGTTGCGGTGGTTGTCCCCAGCCTTGGCTCGTCTACACAGTCCCCTGGAATACTCCTGGCTGCAGGCCTGGCCGAGGGGTGTAGCTCTTGGGGGCCCTGGGTGTTCTGGCTCCTGGGGTCCCTCCCTCTGTGAGAAGCCGGCTTCCCGATGGCGCCCCCTACTTAGGTCCCGGGGTTGTGGCTGTTGGGTTTGGGGACTGGCCTCACCTGCTGACCGAGGGCTGCTGAGCACTCCGGCCTGACTTGGCAGAGCGCTTTGGCAGCTCCATGTGTACAGTGCCTTGGGTTGAGGGCTGCAGGGGATCTTGACACAAAGGGTGGGTTTTGGATCTTCACAATCCCCTGGAATGAATTACAGGAAAGTGTGTGTCAGCCAAGGTACAGTTTGGGGGAGAGATGGTCCTTGGCTTTTATCTCCTTTCGAAGGACTCAAGAAAGGTTAACGACGCTCGTGTGCCGCAGATCCCGATCAGCCCATCAGGCTAGAGCCGTGGGCAGAGCACGGTGACAGTTATGTGAGGCATAGCTGTTACTGTGCAGAAGTGAAGCCCCTGGCCCCCTAGGGCAGCCCCAGGGATGCTGTTGGGGCCCTGGCTGCCCTGGGCTGGTCTGAGCCTCAGGGACCCTGCCGTGCAGGCGGGGCGGGGGGTGCTCAGTGCAGACAGTGCCTTCCACTTGACTGGAGTTCAGGATGGCTGTGCTGAACGTGACTCATTCCTGGAGCTGGCTCAGAACCGCTTGAAGACTTCCTCCTTCCTCCTGAGGGTCTGAGTGCATGGCTAGTGGCGGCCCTGTGCTTGGCACAAGCCCTGCAGGCTCCTGCTGGCAGCAGCAAGGCTCTGGATGTCTGGATGGACATGGAGCCGAGAGACAATAGGGCCCTTTCTTTACCTTTGCTTGCAAACATTTCCTCTCAGTGTTGGAATCCGTGCAGAAGCACCTCAGTGCTTCCTTTGCCTTGTGAGACATGAGTCTCATGGGGCAGCCCGGCTGGCCTGCAGACCCTTGATGAGGGTTACCATCCAGCAGGGCAAGGCGCTGGTTGGCAGGACAGCACGTTCTCTCTACTCCTGGGGCGAAGCCTTGGCACTTGGCTTTGGGTGTGACTCGAGTCACTGCTTTGTGAGGAGGTCAGGTTCCCAGTTAACAGCCACGAGCGCACCGTGACCCCCCACTGGTCTGCCTGCCCGTGCGCCCCCACAGTGTCCCTGTCCTGCTGAGCTCAGGTTTGTGGCCGTTGTGTTCAGGGCCTCCAGGGTCTTGATGTGGGCCCGGTGAGGGGTGTTGGTGCCAGCTGAGGGGCCCCCACTCCCCGGCAGGCAGGAGGACTGCTGCACTGCCTGAACGGCCACCTCTCGGCTCCTTCACAGGCTGTTCAAGTTGTGGCCCCTGTCCTTCGTCTGGAGCAAGCTCTCTGTGTGCGAGCAGCTCAGGCACCGGCTGGAGCAGCTCACGCTCGTCTTCAGCACCCAGAAGGCCGAGAACCCCACCCAGCTGATGAGGTGCAGCCCCGCCTGGGTCTCCTTCATAGTGGCCAGTCGCATGTCCCCCCCACTTCTTTGCACCAGGCCCACCCACGCTGACCCCCTCCGGCCAGGCCCTGCTCACCACCCACTCCCATTGGCCCCCTCCTTCCAGGAAGGCCAACGTGCTTGTCTCTGTGCTTCTCGATGTGGCCCTTGGCCTTGCACTGCTGTCATGGCTTCGCGGGAAGGACCGCATTGGGCCATTGGCGGAGGCCCTCGTCCCTGTGGCTGATGTGAGTTACCAGAGCACCTGTGTCCCAGGGGTGGGAGTAGAGCCCTGCCTGGGGGCAGCAGAAGCCCCTCAGCTGGCCAGAGCCGTATGACCCTTTCCCTCTGTTGGGCTAGAGGAGCCGCCCTGGTCCCTGACCCCAGACCGGTCCCCAGGGCTGCACACACTCAGCTCACCGGATGCCCACCTTCCCCCACTAGGTCACATCTCAGCTCCTGGCCTCTACCTTCCTTTCCACCTTGTGGTTGAGGCTTTTCGGGGGAGCACACCCCCCCCCAGGCCCAGGGTCCCTGGCTCCTGGCTCTTGAGGCAGCTGGCTCTGGGCTTGGCCCTCTGCACAGCAAGCACCACAGAAACCTTCCATGTGTCCAGGGCTGTCTGTGTCCAGCTGCAGTCAGGCCTCTCCCACTGCTGATTCGGCAGTTCCCATGCTGAGTACCAGCAGTTTCCACTTCTCCCAGTTTCTACCCTGTTGCTCTTCTCTGCCTCCCTTCCTCAGAGCCATAGGCCCAGTCGCTCCTGCTGGGAGCTTGTCTTCCTGCTTGGAGCAGTCCCTTTGGCTGCGTGGGCCTTCCCCAGGCCTCTGCCAGTGGCCTCCTGGCCCCGGTGTGGTCGAGGGGCTGAGGCCTGGCTGGGTGGTCCTTGTGCGTGCAGCCTCTGGCACTCCCATCAGTGTCCAGCTGCAGCCGTACCCTCAGCCTGCTCATGAACAGGGGCCCTCACAGGCCGAGAGCCTCCATGGCTTCTTGGGGAGACCTGGTCCAAGAGGAAGGAGGAGGGAGGGCCTGGAAGCCAGGACAGGGGCTTTGCTGCTGTACCTTTCTCACCCATGCTCTGCGTTTTGGCCAGCTTCATCTTCGATCTCCCTTTTGCAGAACTGCGCAGAAATATAAATATTTAATTTAAAAATGAAAGCCTCTTCCTGCCGCTCAGCTCTTATCCTTTAAATATTAGATAAGCTCTATTTATAAAGAATGCTCTGTTCCTTTTCTCGCTGCCCCGGACTCAGCTGAGGCCTTCACAGGCCCACATGGTGGGTTGCGGGGCGGGGGGGGGATGGCAGGCTGTGGGGCAGGGCTGTCATGGCCATGGCCGCAGCATTGCGGATGAGGCTAAGGGTCCTCGGGGCCTGTGCCCTGGGACCAGCCCAGTGCCCGGACATTGGCCTTCCTCCCTGGGCGGCCAGGATGCTGCTCAGCTTCCCAGCTTGCCGGTGAGCATCCCTGTGCTATCTCTGGCCCTCACTGGACGTTTGTGGCTCAGACCTCATCTGTCCTTCCCTCTAGGGAACCCACCAGCCTTCCCACTTGCTACCTGGGCCCCTGATGGGCGCAACACCCTCAGGGTCACCTGGGATCACCCCCCCCAGCTCAGGCCCAGGCGTCTGTGGTGTCGTGCTGCCAGGTGGTGGGGTGGGGTCCTCAGCAGAGGGGCACTGGGTAGACCCATCAGCTCCCCCAAGGTTCATGATGAGCCGGGGTCTGTACCACCTCTGGGCATGTGGGGCTGAGCTCTCCTGTGGGTCCAGTGGCGTGAGGATTGAGATGGAGGAAAGCTGATGCCCATCAGGGCCCCCGTGGCCTGAGGGCCAGGGGTGCACTGTCAGCCTCTCAGGCCCAGGTCCCCGAGCATCTGTGAAGAGGGCTTCCTTGGCCAGACAAGTGTGGGAAACCTCATGTGCCCATCACATTAGGAGACACCTGGAGAGAAGGACCCAGACTACCTTCTTCCTGCCCAGATGGGTTGGCTGTGCTGGGTCCCAGTTTATGGACTTCATCTTCCTCCTGTGTCTCTACAGCACGTGGCTGAGGAGCTCCAGCATCTGCTGCAGTGGCTGATGGGTGCGCCCGCTGGGCTGAAGATGAACCGGGCGCTGGACCAGGTGCTGGGCCGCTTCTTCCTCTACCACCTGCACCTGTGGATCAGTGAGTGCTGGCTCCCCCTGGCCCCAGCGAGCCCCCCCAATGCTCCCCCGCCCAGTGCAGGGGGTGGGGCCAGGCCAGATCCCGCCCCCTCCGTCCCTGCTTTTCTGTCCTCTTGCCGTCCCGGGTATGTGTGTGTAGACCTGCTCTGCTGGGCTGGCTGCTCGGCCCAGGGACGGCCAGCAGTGAAGTCCATCACTCACGGTTTCCAGAAGCCTCAGGCGCCCCTCCTCAGTGAGGAATTGGGGGGGGGGAGGGCAGGACCTCCCTGGGTGCCCCCCTCAGAGCCAACCCCCATCCCCCCAGGCTACATCCACCTCATGTCCCCCTTCATCGAGCGCATCCTGTGGCACGTGGGCCTCTCAGCCTGCCTGGGCCTGACGGTCGCCCTGTCCATCCTGTCTGACATCATTGCTCTGCTCACCTTCCACATCTACTGCTTCTACGTCTACGGGGCCAGGTGGGTGTGGGCGCCACACTCGTGCAGGCCGGCCCTCGGCACCCCCCAAGCCCTGACGCTGCCCATGCCCCGCAGGCTGTACTGTCTGAAGATCTGCGGCCTGTCCTCACTTTGGCGTCTGTTCCGGGGGAAGAAGTGGAATGTTCTGCGCCAGCGAGTGGACTCCTGCTCCTACGACCTGGACCAGGTACCAGGCAGGGTGCAGGGGGAGGCCGGGCAGGGTGCAGGGGGAGCCTCCCCGCTCCCGTCCACCTGGTCCCTCTCTACATGAGCCTGGCCAGTGTGGCTGCGCAGCCTGTGATGGGGCAGCTCCCCTGCGGGCGGGTCAGCGTGGAGCCTGGGGTACTGAGGGCTCTGCAGGGGGCAAGGTGCACGTGGAGCCCTTCCAAGCAGGACTTGCCCCAGGTGGGAGGCGGACCCTGCTGTGAGGAGGGTGCTGGGCACCAGGGAGCTCCTGGACGGTGGGGCATGGACATGACGTACGCACAGGACCCGGCTCACACCAGGGCTGACCAGGTGGACCCTGTGTGCTGCCCTGCACGGCATGCTTGTCCTCCCACCTTTGATGTATGTGCTCACGCCCTGTTGGCTGGTTCTGTCTCCCCGCGTGTCACTGAGTCTGGATGGCATGCGGACACATCCCGCCCCGTACTGGAGAAAACTGTCATGAGCGGGTTTTCCTGAGCTGTCTCGGAAGCCCAGGTGTCCTGTTGGCAGGCATCCCATTTCTGCTCCATTGTAGGGTGGGTTTGGTGGGGATGGGCTGTGGAGTTGTGGCTCGTGCCGCTGGGGCTGTCCCTGGCATGGGGCTCTTGCTGATGCTGACGGTGGTGTTCTTTCTCCCTGTAGCTGTTCATTGGGACTTTGCTCTTCACCATCCTGGTCTTCCTCCTGCCCACCACGGCCCTGTACTACCTGGTGTTCACCCTGGTGAGCCGAGAGGCTCCTGGCTGACCTGGCCACTGGGCCTTGCCCACAGTGCTTGGAGTGATCCCTGCCTGCCCTGCCTGCCAGCCAGGCAGCTGTGGGCAGGCCATCCACCACTACCCCAGAGAGGCCATGGCTATTCCAGACTCTCGGGGCACTGTGTGCTGGGCCCTGGAGTGGGCAGGGGTCCTACCCCAGCTCTGGGACACACAGCTGGGTGCACGGAGGGCCCCGGGGAGGGGCACCCAGCTGGCCCCAGCCGAGGGGCCAGTAGCATATTCCCCTGGGGTCAGCTGCCCCTGCCCACTGCTTCCCTGCCTCCTCATAGCTGGGCCTCAGGATCAGGGTGGGAGCTGTGCCCTCCTCAGGATGCGATCCGTGTCCTCCCCAGGGGTCTGGAGCCCCTGCTCACCCTTCGTCGCGGCCAGGACCCCTGGGCTGCTGCAGTCACGGCCCTGGTGCAGCTCTGAGTGCCGTCTGTTGCTGCAGCTCCGGCTTCTGGTGGTGGCTGTGCAGGGCCTGATGCATCTGCTCGTGGACCTCATCAACTCCCTGCCGCTCTACTCGCTCGGCCTCCGGCTCTGCCGGCCCTACAGGCTTGCGGGTAGGTCTGTGTGTGGGGTGCACCCACGGGCCCTGCAGAAGCAGTGGTGTGCAGGGTGCGGGTGGTGGGGGCGGCTGAGACCCCTGATGTCCACTGGGCCTGCAGTGAGCTGGGGGGTTCAGAGGCAACAGAGGCAGCCCTTCCTCTTTGTCACCTTCTTCTGTGACGAGCGTGAACATTTGCCCTGACGTCTGTCTGCAGTAGCATAGGTGGTACTTGAATGTGGCTCAGAGAAGCGTCCCTCTGAGCTCGTGTGGGACTGTGTGCCTGCTGGTGCCCCTCAACCTTGGAGGGGACAGGCCAGGCTGGAGGGCGCTGGGCTGGCCAGATCTGTGTGACCACAGACCATGGTGCGCGGGACAGCACCCCCTCCTAGCTGCCCCTGGCTGTCCCCCTCTGCAGGTGGCTGCCCCTCTTTTCATGCTGACACCAACCGCTAGGTAGGCAGATGCCCCTGAGGGAAGGCCACCTCTCTGCAGGCCGGGGAAGGCTGACCTAACTGGTCACAGCATTGTGAGTTGGCCCATCCCCGTTGAGGGGTTTTGAACACATCAGGGAGCATGGGGCATTCTTGGTACAGCCCCCATCCAGCAGCTGTTCCGCCGACCCCTGTGCTGAGCAGCCTGCCCGGGAGGCCCTGCATGCTGTTTGCAGCCCAGCCCGGAAACCAAAGCTCCCAGCAGCTGCTTCCAGCCCGCGGAGGACCAGAGGACTTGAACCTGCATGCTCCGTGCACTTTGGACCTAGTCTGCCTTCCCCGCGCCCTTAAATTCTCTTTCCAGGTCACCTCCCCTGCAGACCCCCAGGTGGCCCATGCCAGTGACCCCAGCCTGTGTCCATACTTCAGAGTGCCAGGACCAGGCAGGCGAGGAGCCTGAGACCCAGCATCTTCCCTCCCCCAGCCTGCAGCTTGTGGTCAGAGCAGAGTTGTTTTAACTTCACATAAAAGTCCACAGATGCTGCTGCCTCCTCTCGTTTTCACCGAGTTTGCCCTGGGGCCTCTTCATCAATTGATAATTAGCTCCTGCTTCTCTTTTCAAGAACTTTCTGCCTTGGAAATTCCCAGGCTGGGGAGCCCAAACTACAGGCCAGGGGCACAGTGGGTTCCCAAGTCGCCGCTCACACAGAATTTGGAAGACGTTTAGATGGCAGCCACGCCCCACCAAGGACCCTGTCCACTCTGTGGGAGAAGCCACGTCCCATTTGGAAAGCAGTGCAGCCTGAGGCCCCGAGGCCCAGCTGACCCTGCCCCGCCTCCCAGACATGCAGCTTCTGTCTTTCAGTGAAGTCCTGCAGAGGCTTTGATACTGGCCAGGCAGCCGGCAGAGGGGAGGCGGACAGGGAGGTTGGGGGAGGCGTGCGGAGAGGTGAGCCTGGTGTGCGGCCCGGACCACCCACAGCCTTCTGAGTGCCGCTCAGACAGGAAGGGGCCTTTGCCACCACAGCCCCTGTGCCCAGGTCTGCCTCTACGGGTGTACAGGGCAGGAGGCCCGGGAGGTTATCTGCTGAGGGCCGTGTGCCTCACAGGCACCTTGCTGTCCTTGCAGCTGGTGTGAAGTTCCGAGTCCTGGAGCATGAGGCTGGCAGGCCCCTCCGCCTCCTGATGCAGGTGAGGCCTCTGTGTCCCTGGGCAGACCCCCCCCGCCCCCCGCCATGATGTTGCCTATATTCTGGAGCGGCTGCCCTGGGGGAGGGCAGCACGGGTGCAACAGAGCGGACAGGTGGGGCCTCAAGGAGAGGCTCCCTCACCCCCAAGACCTCTGGGCACCGTGACCCCCTCTGCCTGGAACCTCCCTCAGCAGGTGCCTGGATGGGATCCCCTGGGCTGTGCCTGATGCCTTCCACCAGCCCGGGCTCCTGCCCTGAGCCCCATGGGCTCTTGTTCCAGGAGGAAGAGCACGGACTTGGCGAAGGCCTCAGGACGCACTCTTTCTCTGAAACTGTCCCTCTGGCCTGTGCGAGAGTGGGCGGGTTGCTGGGTGACTCGCTGGGGGCTGGTGGGGTTGGCCCAAGGGCCATGTCTCAGGGAGAGGTCAGATGCTGAGGCCGCTGGGGCCCTGCATGGTTTTCTCAAGGGTGCGGGATGTTCCCGGGCCCTGCCTGGGAGGCTCCCAGGAGGTGAGTCCTGCAGGCGAGGAGTCAGCGCCCCTCCAGGCTGGCCCACCTCGCATCCCTGCAGTCTGCCCAGAGGAGAGCATGCCTGACCTCGGTCCGAGTGCTCCCTCTCAAGCTGCTCACCCTGCCCCTGGGGAGCACAGGGAGCGCCTATCTGGACAGAGTGGGTGCTGCCCCGCAGCAGACATCCCAGGGACCCCCAGTGAGGGGCCGCTCGGACTGGCAAGCTTGAGCCTCAGGGAGCTGGGGGCCGCGTCCTGGCTGAGCGCTGCCCTTGTGCTTCCAGATAAACCCCCTGCCCTACGGTCGCGTGGTGCACACCTACCGCCTGCCCAGCTGTGGCTGCCACCCCACGCACCCCTGGGGCTCCCTGTGCCGCAAGCTGTTCTTCGGAGAGCTCATCTACCCCTGGAGGCAGAGAGGGGACAAGCAGGCCTGAGGGGCCCTGGTCGCCGGCCTGCCCAGTACCATCCCGCGGCCACAGTCTGCCCTCCTCCCTGCCAAGGTGTGGACCGTCAGGACAGCAAGCGTCCCTGATCTCTGCCTTCCCTGCCCCCAGTCGTCTGAGGCCTGTGCATGTCCTGCTGGCCCTGAGGTGGTGGGGTGCCAAGCAGCAGGACACAGGGGCAGCCAGCCAGGCCAACAGGCCTCTGCTCTATCACCAGCTGTGTTTGCCTCGGGACCCGCCTCCTGACCTCTAGTGATGGCCACCCAGTGCCCACCAGCCCCCCTCCTATCGCACCCAGAGCCCCCGACTCTGCCCACCATGCCCGTTCCCGGGGAGGTGAGCTGGCAGGCCTCCCTGGTGCTCCCAGCGGCCACACCCTGTCATGGCGTGGAGGGACCCCTCTAGGACACACTCAACGTTCTTGAGGCTGACCCCAAGCATCTCCTGGCTTGAGGGGTTGCACTTCTGTGTCCCTCGCCCAAGCCAGCAGCCCCGGTGAACCAGGGCCGTACGGGAAGCCGGGCAGCAGCACCCTCAGCCTGGGTCACACAGGGTTTGTGTGGCGCCCCCTGGAGAGATTGCTCTGCACGAGGAGCTGCCCACCGGCCTTTGGGTCTCCCTGTGTGAAGCCAGGCCACATGGGGTGCCGGGAACTGCCTTGCTGAAGACCGAGTACCCATTCACCTTGCTGCCCTGTCCCTGCCCCGCGCCCACGCAGGAACAGGCCCCTTGGCCAAATCTTCCATCTCCCTCACTGGCTACCCACAGAAGGAGGCAGCTGCTGGGCAGACACGTTTGTAGCCCCCAGTGTGGGGAGGGGGGGTCCTAGCGTTCACGCTGCGTCTGCCTACTGGCTGGCATGGAATCTGACTGTGGGTGTGAGCCCCAGCAGCCCCAGGGGGAGGAAGCCTGCACATGCAGGTGGCATCATGTTTGTTTTGCCATCTTGGAGTGGGCCACATTTGTGCCGTAGCCTGCACTCCTTGCCTGCAGGCCACAGTGGGGAGCCCGTGGGTGAGGTCCCACCAGCCCAGCGTCTCATGGAACAGGTCCTAGCTCTGCCTTTTTCTGCTGTGACAATAAAACCTCCCTCCTGTTAGGAGTGCGCCCCTCTGCCTTCCCATCACTACATGGGCGGTAGGCCTGAGGAGGCCCCCATCTTCATCCGAACCTTGGTGGGGGTGCAGTGAGGTTCCCCTTCTCCTGGGGTCATGGGGCAGCTGGCCCCCATTGTTTGTTCTGAGGTGTTTGACACCTGTTTCTTGTTTGATGCCAAGCTGGGGGGGCACTCCATCCCCTGAAGCAGAACTCCCTGCAGGTCTGACGCCTTGAAGGTGTCCTGGTGTGGGCGGATGGACCCAGGGCCACTTGCTGTCTGGTTTTGGCCTTGCCCTGGTATGGGGGACAGGGCCGAGGGCAGGGGCGCAGGCCTCCCTGGGGCAGGAGGGAGCTGCCCTGGCTCTGGTGAGTATGTCGCCTGAAACCTGTGGGGTCTAGGACTCTCGGGTGGGCTCCTGTGTGCCTGGCATCCTGGCTTTGTAGGGAAGGGCTGCAATCCGGAGAGGTCAGCCTCCACTAAAGGGGAGCCCTGCAGGGCCCCTGTGGCTTCCTTGGTGCCTCTCTGGTCTGAGGCAGGGGGAGGGGATGTGAGCAGTGCAGGGACCCCGCAGAGGCCCAGAAGCCCCTGAGGAGAGTGTGCCCACACCTGCCCCCAGGCCCCTGGAGCCTGCTGAGAGTGGCCTCCACCGCCTGTCTTTCTGGGGCTGCCTCCCCAGTCAGCAGATGCCACCTCTCTGCTTGGGGCTCTGGCCAGCCCACTGGGTGGTGGTGGCCACGTCACAGGCCTTGTGTGGCAACTGTCACCCTCTGTGATGGGTTGCCTCCCCCTCTCCTAAGGGCAGCGCCGGTCCCTCCAGCCACTTGCCGCCACCGAGAGATGCTGATCCCACCTCCCAGGAACAGCCTTAATTGGTGGGCCCTCTTGTCCCCAGCCCAGGTCTCTGACCGCCTCTGCCACGCTGACCTGGGCAGAGCCCTGAGGCCGGACCTCAGGTCACCCCAAGAAGTGGACGTTGTTTCCTTTTCGGTTTCAGCCACTTCCCACTCAGGTTCTCAGGGTTGCTGGAAGAGAGCAGCCTCCCGCCCATCACAGGAGACAAGCTCAGAGAGTGATGGTGACTAATCGCAGGCAGGTCTGAGCTCCACAGTGCGCTCCCCGCCATCCCCCCCACCCCGTGAGTGAAAGCTTCCTACTTTGACATGTTTCAGATGCACGGAAGCCACGCACCGTACTGTTCAGTGCCCTGACCCACATTCCCCTTTGTTCACATTTTGCCACATTTGCTTCTTTATATTTCTGCTCTATTTTTTCCTGAACCGTCTGATCATCAGTTGCCCCTGATTCTACCCCTAACATTTTCTGTTCTGAAGGACAGACTGAGCAGTCACGGCACGGTGAGGGGAATTGGGGTAGCGTGGGTGGGGCCCCTTGCTGGGTGCCCCAGTGAGCTCTGCAGCAGCCTCTCGGCAGGTGGCCTGTCCTGGCCACAGCCTGGTGCCAGCCTCCCACGATGTGGGCGTGGAAGATATAGCCAGTTACTTGGTAGGATGACCCTCTGTGGGGCTTATCTGATGATTCTCACCAAGAGATTCAGCACGTGTGCTCTTGGCACAAAGAGCATGTAAATGCCACCACTGTGTCCTTCCTAGGGCGTGACATTGAGAGGCACACAGTGTCTATTTGTCCATCCTGGTGACGTCCACTTGATCACCAGGTTCTCCTCTGCAAAGCCACTAACCCTTTAATAAGTAATTTGTACAGAGGTATTTGCGACCATGTGAATGTCTGCCATTCCGCATGCTCTGGTCCACTAGCTGCAGCATCCACCCTTGGTTCTTGCTGGATGCCCACACAAAGGTTTCTGGGTTCCTCCACCTGTGGGGTTTCATGGGAACGGGCCTCTCCCTGGCACCAGTTTTGAGCTTGGGGCCAAGTAACTGAAACTTTCATGGGTGCTCCCAGAGAGCTTGGGCACAGAGCTTTTGGGGCCAAGGTCTGTTTGTCCCAAGGGGTAAACCCCGGACCCTTCTTGGAAAGCAGGGCTTGGGGTCCAGCATAGAGGGCAGTGGGTATCGTGGAGGGGAGGACAAAGACCACTTCAGACTACTTCCTTTGTTCCCCTGCTCCCTGCCTGGACAGGAGCCGGGTCTGGAGGCCTGGCCCCCATCCTTGCCCAGAGCCAACAGGTGTGGCAGCTGCAGGGGAGACTGGGGGCAGGGGGTTCTTTACTAGACACTTCCTATGTCTCGTGGGCCAGGGATACCCAGAATTACCCTTGACCACCTAATACATGGGCACCTCAGCAGGACTGGCCCAGGACTTGCAAACAGAGGGCTGTTCTGGGCTGCTTCATCGTTAGCCCAAGGTCCCTCAGTGGCAGGGATGCAGTCCTGTCCCTTCCTCAGGCCCCAGGACCGGGCCTGGCACTTACTGGGTCTCAGAATGGCTTTGTAGAAGGGCATGCATCTTTGTGGGAGGCCAGTTCCTCTGTCCACAAGGCCAGAGTGGCACCCCTCGGGCCACCCCCACCCCCCTGGACTGGCCCTGCTGCCCCAGACCCTGTGGCTTCCTTGGTGCCTCTCTGGTTTGAGGCAGGGAGGGGAGAGGCCCGAGGGGATGCCAGCAGTGCAGGGACCCAGCGGAGGACCAGAAGGCCACGCCTGCCCCCAGGATCACACCCCTGCACAGGCCCCCAATCTACAAAGTAGGGATGGTCACACCCGCTGCACAGGCTATGTTGGGAAAGGCTCAGTCAGAAAACATAGGTGCTGAGCCCAATTCCTCTCTTTGTCCTGGATGATGGGAGAGCTGGCAGTGGGGCCTAAAAGCCGTTGGAGTCCCTTTAGGGGAAGTCCTGAGAGGGGTGAAGAATGCTTTTAATTTCTCTGGAAAGGGGATGATAATAGCTTCTCACCCGTCACCACTTCACCCCAGGGAACCTCTAGGCAGCCTCAGAAACCAAGAAGGAAATTATTAACCTCACAGTGCTTCCAGTCCCTGGACAAGGGTCTTGGTCCTCCAGAGCAGGGAGTAGGCGGTGCCGGGGCAGAGGCTGCAGTGAGCTCTGCAGGAGATGTCCAGCCCCATCACCCCCGAGGACCTTCCCTGACATGCCGGATTGAGGCGCGGGGGTTGGGGGGGCAGGTGGAAGCCAAGTGCGAGCTGCCAGCCCCCTTGTCCTGTGCCCGTCAGTACTCTGTCTCTGGCCCCTCTGAGGATCGGGCCCCCTGCCTCCCAACAAGACCCTGCCCTCTGGCTGTTTCTGTAACATCTGTGTTGTGGGTGGAGGTGCCTTTCTGTAAACACTGGACGTTGTGTGTGCTGTAACCCAGCATCCGGGGAATGGTCATCGTCCAGGGGGAGGACACGGCCTAAGCAAATGTACAAGCAGGGCCGTCGGGGCTCCTCTGTGGTTTATGAATGAGCCAAGAGGCCCTGCCCATCCCCGGCCAGCCTCTGTCCTCCTGTGTCTCGGCTCCATGCTGCCCTGGAAGACCAGGAGGACAAGAGGAGAGCCGCTCCCTGAAGGCAGGTGAGGAAGGCCCAGGTGCCGTTCACCCAGCAGAGGGACCAGCTCATCAGGAAGCTCCCCAGGCACCAGGCCAAAATGAACCAGCAGTGTGCATGTGGGTGGACACACTTCCTAGTAAAGGCTGTCTGCAGCTTGGGGGTGGAGTCACTCCGTGTGGGGTCTGCTGTCTGAAAGCTACCTGCTGCTGGAGCCGTGGCCCAGGGTCTGTGACCCCTTGGGAAGAAAGTTCTTGCAACCAGTTCCTTACCTCCTGGGAAGACATGCTAGCCGGGCTGTCCTCAGTGCGGCACAGTGGGTCATGGTCATCATGGTGACATGCTCCCTCTGCACAGGTCTGCTTTGTAGGGAGCCCTACCTGGTCTGGTAAGGGCTATTTGACAACTAATTCTTTATTATTCTTAACAGCTTTATTTTTTTTTAATATTTTATTTATTTATTTGTCAGAGAGAGCAAAAGCAGGGGGAGTGGGAGAGGGAGAAGCAGGCTCCCAGATGAGCAGGGAGCCCGACGCAGGGTTCGATGCCAGGACCCTGGGACCACAACCTGAGCCGAAGGCAGACGCTTAACTGACTGAGCCACTCAGGTGTCCCGATTAACAGCTTTATTGAAGTATTTTTAATTCATCCATTTTGTGTGCACAATTCAGTGATTTTGTTTTACAGTGAAAAAAGGTGCTTTTATTATAACACGGGGACAGGACCCGTGGGCAGAAAGAGTTGCCAATTCAATGATTTTTAGTAACTTTACCAAGTAGTATGACCATCACAAGCTTCACATCACCCCAAAAAGAAACCCTGTACCCAATAAGCAGTCACTCACCATTTCCCCCTTCCCTGGGGCCCTGGTGACCACTAATCTGCTTTATGGATTTGCCTGTTCTGGGCATTTCCTATAATTGGTATGTGGCACAGATCAGTACTTTATTCCTTTTTATGGATGAATACGTCCATTGTGTGGCTAGGCTACATTTTGTTCACCCATTGATCTGCTGATGGATGTCTGGGTTGTTTCCACCTTTTGGCCACTGTGAATAGTGCTGCCATGAAGATTCCGGTACAAGAGTTTGTGTGGATGTAAATTTTCTTTTCTCTAGAAGCTGAATGACTGCACTGTATGGTATTTTTATACCTAACTTTTTGAGTCACCCCCTATTAGGTGTCATATGTAAGTATGTTCTCATAAACAAATGTTATCAATGAGGAGAAAGTCACTCTTGATCCCCAACCCCAGAGCAAAGGACGGTGTCCGTCTGCTGAGCATACGTCCAGACCTCTTCCTATGCGCGCATCGTTTCTCTAATACCTAAAACCTTCAGTAAAACGAATTTTTAGAAGCGTAAATACTGAAATCATCCTGGATAAAGCATGCTGTCATCCGCGTTCTTCTCTTTTCGCGTCCGTATGGGGCTGCACGAAGCCGGCTGATCCAACAGCTCCGTACCAGCGGACCGGGCTGAATTATCAGCCTGGACCACCGCGCTCCGAGAGTCCGTTCCCGCGGGCTGGCCCGCAGC